GTGTGATGAAGTGATAAACAATAATCCAGTCCAGGTGTAGAGAGGGATTATGAAGAAATGTCACTATTAACTGTGAGAGTAAAAGTGCTCAAGTGCACTGACTCAACTAGTCTTAACATAATAATATATAATACATAATATACATTATATAATAAATAAAATGTATAATGTATAATATATAATACATAATATATTTTATAACATATAATATATAAAACATATTTTACTTTTGTTATCTCCTATTGATTTTCTATTTCTACAATTTTTTTACGTTCTTCTAAATACGTCTATAAAATATTTTTTATCTTAATTCAAAATGTATTGTATCTATAATATTAATTCCCGTAGATTGTGTAGGGTTTAAGATACAACTCATAGTAGTCGAAACATATTATTCTGCATTTATTTATTACTTTTTTTTATTTTAATCTATTGCAGTTAGACTCTGATTACATATTTTAACAATGCAGAGCTATACGAGTATATTGTAGCGATAGAATCTATACATTTGTGAAATCTTAACCTATTTATACAAAATTTTAATTAAAATAATCTTGAAGTACCGTTTAACTACAATCAAATATTTTTATCAAAAATATTTTAATACTTAAATAATAATCATAATATCGTATATAAATAAATAAAAAATATTTTTTTTTTATTGAAAACGTATACCGAATAACAAGATTTTATTTTATTTAAATGAGGTTTTGTTATCATTAATTATTAGTTATCATTTAAGGTTAAATATATAAATGTCATAAATATTATTTTATTAAGATATCTAATTAAAACAAACATACTAGATTTCGACTATAATTCTATACATTTGACACTTGAACTTACGTTTTTATTTAGCATATCAATTATTATTGAATGTAAATTATTATTTTCGTCTAATATAATAATTTATATTATTATTATTACAATATTATTGTAATAATTAACATGAATCTTACATGATCTTACATTAAGAAAGAAAATAAAATAAAAGATACTTTCTGGAAATACTTTTAATACTGAAAATTCCGGATGATAAAAGACTAAATTATAAAACGGATACGGACAACTGTGCCCAGGCTTATAGGAATATTGTAAAGACATGACACAGGATATTGTTTATTTACTTTTTATAATTTTTATTCTCTTTTTGTTTTTATTATTGCATTTATTATATGATTTTCTTTTTAATTTTCCCGCTATTTTACATTGTATATTTTGTTAGTTTCCCTGAAGATGACTATCGAAGATAGTTGAAATGTTCATAAAATAATTTGTTTTAAACATAAATTATAGTTTGTTTTTTATTTTTATTTATTTAAATGAATAAATAGTAGAATAATTAACATTATATTTTTTGCATTATGATCTATAGGCTTATTACAACTCTCCTTCACGAATTTAAAGTATTTCTCTAAGTCCCATTTCCTCGACAAATTGCAGTATTGAAATTATTGTAATAATTAATATTTCATTTTTTTTGCTTTGCAATCAATAGATTTATTGCATTTTTTATATAAATTCAAAGTCCCATTTCCTAAACAAATTATAGTATTGAACGTACTGTATCGAGTCTCAGGTCTTTATCCGAAATAAGATGCCCAGATACAGATATATCTTTTTTTTATACATCAGTGTCAGGCAAAATCCTAGTACATGCTTTTAAATAAATTTATATTAGTGGTACTCAAGATCTGGAGTAAAGAACTTAGTAATTGATTAATATGATAATATTGTAAAGTACTAGAAAACAAAATACAATTCGAGTAAATATCTTTTGTTGTTGTTACTTTGGTTCATCGTTTCTATGGTACTAGAGATATTAAATTACAATATTATATGTTTATATTATATAGTAACCAATCATATACAAGATGTATTCACAATCTTGAGTAACTAGTTAAGTAGGGTTATCTCGAGTAACTAGATAACCCTATCAAATGTCAATAATAAACTACATGTACTCAAAATGTATTTTCTTGTTGAACTATTACATTATGCCAGATATTGTGAGTACCACTGTAATATTTTATAGATAATCAATAATTTTATCTCTTCTTTATTTGATTATTATTTAAGAATAATATATTATTTTATATATATTTTTATTTCATTTAATTAATTTTCAAATATAAAGTTTTGTTAAGTTTTGTTTTGTCAAATTCATTATTTCATATATTATCATTATTTTATATATTAATAATGCAGCCTAAAAGATAAACCATGGTCGCAGTGCTTCGCTCCGTTGGGCGCTGGTACCCCGTTAATTCCTATTCCTATATATTAATAATTTTATTATTGAATTCAATGCAATGAATTGGAATTCTCGACTTTGATTGTTGGTTTGTCGTTGTTAGTCTGCAAACATTTGGTTTTATAAGGCCACTTCTGTTATTATTTATATTCTTGCTCTGTTTTTAATTCTTGATATACGTAAATCGTTATCTTTCGGAGCTGTTATTTGTATCATATATGTTTTTCTGTTACTGTTAGATTACTTGTATGCATTGTTTGTATTTTGTACATATTGTACAATAATTATTTATAGCAAATTATTTTAGTAAGGATTTTATGTATATAAAACACATATCTTCAAGAGTACAAAGATTCATAAAAAATCTGTTTTCTTTTTCTCGTGTTGAACTGGAAATTTCTTTTTAACAAATCAACGCCAATCTATTATTTATTAATTGTAGTATCGAAAGTTACAAAAGTTATGGTATTATTATTTTATAATTACTATGAGTAATTTCAATGCTTTATGTGAGAAAAAATTATAACAACAGACAAAATAATTATAGAAAAAATAAAAGCCTAAAAAGCGTTGCTAGACGCAAATACTCGCATTCTCTATTTAAACATACCGAAGCGCACTTCACAGTTTTAGTCGATCACTTGTATTCGACGATTGAAGATCGTTAAACTACCAAAATACTAAGCATTAAAAAATAATTTAAATTTTTAAAAAAATAAAGTAATATTAAAAGTGTCCGTTTTGTTAAAAAAAAAAAAAATAAAAAATAAAGGTAAATAAATATTTCTTTAAAGTTTTAAAAAATCCTTTAAAGGACATAATTTCCGATTTATGGTGCGAGAATTACTTTAAAATTAATTTGAAAATAAAAATAATCATGCAAATATTTAAATTTAAATTTAATTTGAAATAATATATTAAGAATGCTGTGAAAATTTCCTTTAATTTAATATAATTTATTCGCAGCTGCTTTTGTATGCTAAATTTAATTTGAGTTTGAGTGCCTATTTAAATAAAATTAAAGTGCGCCCCAACTTCGGGGCAATATTTTGAATGAAATAGTAATTGTTAAAATTCTTAATTAAAAAATTAATCTTGTTCTAAAGGGAATGCGAAATCATTAATAAATACCGATCCTATAATGTAAATAATTGGGTTTTGAATATAATTGAAAAATACATATTTATTACTTTTTGATGTGAAAACACAATAACAATTCGCAAATTAACACAAATTTCTGTGTTTAATTTTAATTTTATATTGAATTTATTTAAATTATTTAAAAATAAAATAATACAATAATATATGTGAAAACAATATATAATCCCGATTAAACTAATTTTAAACAATATTACAAGGGAAAATAATAAGTTAACAACTAGTGTATAAACATAATACAGTTTATGTGAGAATAATAATAAAATAATTAATTAAAAATTAACTTATACTGAAAAAGTTTATAATTATAAACAATTTATTTTTCTTTATTTAAAAAACTATGCAGTAAAAAAATTATTATATTAGAAATAATTTTTGTGTTTAAAATTCTGCCGGTGTTTTTATAACTTATATAAAATAATAACTTATATAAAAATATAAATAATTCTTAAAAAAAAATTTATTTGGTACAAAGGATATATTAAAATCGCCTGCTTTAACTTCAGTTATATATTATTTCGTTGTGGTTATTAATTAAATGTGATGACTTATTTTATTTTAATTAAAAATTTATTTATATGAATTTGTAGGGAATTTATATATAAAACGTAATTTTGGAAATTAATAAAAAAAAATTGGGCCATTAAAAAAGTTTTTATACTGAAGAAAAGTTTAAATAATTTTGTAGGAACTAAAGTGCAAAAGTTCAAATTTTATCATTTTTTTTGGCAATTTATTTTTTTTTATTACTTTGAATAATTAATTAATTCTGCATTAAAGCGTAATTAAAGGAGATTAAGTTGGCAAAGATAATGGAAACACAGAAAAATATATAACATTTGCACATAATAATAAATACACATATTTTTATACATATTTTGTCAGCGATTTCGACAAAAATATAATTGATATTAAATATATATATTTATACACATATAAAGTAGATCGGAGACAAGTATTTAATTGATATAAAGCATGTAAAATCCAATAATTGGTCTCAATAAAATATTTATTTGTATATATGTATGTGTGTTTGTATTAATATTCTAATCCTGAAATCAATGAAAAATTGTTTTATATAATTATAATTAGATAATCAAATATAATTATTTATAATTATAATAATTAATTGTTATTTAATAATTAATAATTAATTATTATTTAATTATTAATAATTAATTATTATTTAATTATTAATAATTAATCATTGATTATTATTAATTACTTTGATTTATTAAGTCTTTTTAAAAGCAAATATATGTGGACTATTAAAATAATAACAAAAATATAAATAAATTAATAATAATAATAACAATAATAAAAATATAATAAATTTTTTATAGATATAGAAAAGAAGATTTGATTTTCTTTATTTGATTAAATTTTTGATTTATTTTTTAAGTTTTTAATTTAATTTAATATTAATTTATATGGATATTTAATATGGATATTTCATTTTAATAAAATCATTAAGTAATAAATATATAAATAATTATAGAATAAAATAATAAATCATTTTAATAATTAATTATTAATTATTTAATTAATTAATGCTTAATTAAAAATAATTAAACTTTATTTGTTTCAGATTTGCTTTTGCAGTGAGAAATATTTGCTTTCAAAGGGGAAAAAATATAATTTTATTAATTAAAGTTCGATTAAACGTTGGAACATAAAAATTATATTCGAAAATGGAATCTTTCTTAAAAGGAACAAGTGCCAAACGTTTTATAATTGAAGATTCAAGTAAGTAAATTCATTTAAATATACTGTATTAATAATGTGGAATTTTTATAATGAAACCATACTACAATTAACTAAATATAATGCTTTCCATATAATATTAGCGTACCATATATGCAACAAAATATTGACATATCATATCTCAATGTTTTTGATAAATGTTATACTATGCGTTACAATCAATAGACAAAAAAGTTTTTTCAGATATAGTAATAGCTATTCAAATGACTTATATAGATTGTTTATATGTAGGTTTAGGTTTTCTTTATTATATGATATTAAAAAAACCTTTTATTACATTAGCATAATATAAACATCCGGAACCATTTAAAAGCATGTCAGTGTTCCAATTTTCAGATATTGAAAGTGTTGTTGAGTTATCCAATTTTTCATCCATCATTATACGAAACCATAAAATCAAAAAGGTTGTTAATGAAAGTCAGAAAGACCTTCAAGATTCCGCCAACTTCAATTGTTCATTTATTCATTCCACTGAATTAAGATAAGCGAAGTTATTACAACATATTATTACATTAATTTAGTTCGAACTACACTTAGTACATACAGATTGTTCAGTTTTTCTTTGATTCCAACTTAAGAAGATAGGGTCAATAAAATTTAAACTATTTAAAAATATATTGAACATAAATGTGTAGGAAAATTTAACATTTTATATATATTAATAAATAATTTCATTAATAGATTATTAATATATTGAGATTAATTAATTAGTTAAAGAACAAATCGCCATTACTTTTAGGTAGCCGTGGCATAAAGCATTGATTCTAAATAATTTTGTTTTTAATATATATCAAATTCAATTTAATTAAGTCTAATTTAATAGACGAACTATTGTTTAAATATATGTTTTGAAAATTTATAAACTAAATCTAGTTTTAAAAAAAACTAAATTACACAAATACTCTTTTATTAAATGTGCACATAAGCGATAATTATAATAATCTGCACTAATAAGTACTTATAGTTTTATTTATTTCAATTAATTCTACTCAGTTTGTTATATATTACATATTACATATATTACATTATAGTGCAATACTTAGCAGAGTTGTTGCATGCCGCCTGTGATGCATTAAAATGATTAAGCGCTTACTGTATTGTGGTTGTGCCGGAAACACTTAAATCGGTAAACGATTTGAAAGATACAAATAAAAAATTGCCTATTTATAACTTTAGAATAGCGATACGGAAAACAAAATAACTAGTTAAACACCAAATCTATATGACTATATATATATATAAATTATATTAAATATAAATATATTTTTTTGTGAATTTGTACAATAAGTCTTTTAATTTATTTATAGTATGTTAAATTTTATTTTGTTAAGATATATAAAGAGCTATCTTTATGGAGTTAGAGCCATCTTATATAAAGATCTATATATAAGGATATATAAAAAGCTATCTTTATCTTTTTAGTGCCATCTTAGGAATCAGTCTATAATCGTCTATATTGTTATTGCCTATATTCTTTGTACATCAATGGCAATTTCATTCACGTTAACGATGATTTGTTATTTTCATTTAGTTAAAATCCTTAATTTATGTATAGTATGTTGGTTGCAGATTATCTATTTATCTTCATCTTCATCAAATTATTTAGTTTCTCTTCATCTCTTCTCTTAAAAATTGCATTTGTTGCTTACCCCTTAACTCGTAAAATCTTAGCATGCTAATTATTAATAAAATAAATAGTACTGTAAAATAACATTATATTATATATTTCTTAATTAATTTCGTTCATGCCATTATTAATTTCCGGTAACCCACTGTAAAAATTATTCATTTTCCATTTAAAGCATATTTTGATTTGTAGGATTCACCTTGATTGAGTAAGTTTCTTAATTGTAAAAAAAAATTACATTCAGCGAGATCATTTCTATCCACTGCAGCTTTACTAAGGTTCTTAAATAAAATAGTTTGACTTTTGTCAAAGCACACTATTTTCATTTGATTAGGGTCTATTGTAGTGAAAGATATTTATTAAGATTATAAACTTTCATGGTTGTTTAATTTGAGTTTCTGTCGTAAATGACCATAACACCCGCATTGAGATCACATCGCCAATAAATGTTCTCTAAAAAAAAATTCTACCGATATCAGTTGAAGTCATATATAGCATTTAGATATAATTTCCTACCTACAGTATCATGTACAACTGAATACTTATATATAACTTTGTTCTAATTTTATTATTATATTTCAACATATTTATATTCTTTGTATCTTATTTTTATATCCTCAACGACTGACATTCTGGCTTTCATTCGGAAGGCGGAATGTTTTCTGTTCGGTTAAGGTTTGTTGCAGCACAAAAGATCAATCATGGTCACAGTGCTCCTCTACGCTGGGAACTGGTACCCTGTTTATTTCTAATTCTAAATTCTTATCTTATTTGACTACATTGCTATTCCTGTAATGTATTTGTATACAAAAACTCTGTATCTTTGGGTTTTTAAGATTGGAACACATAGCAAATAAAAAAACATTTTTAAAAGTTTTAGTCATATTTTTAACATATCGAAAAAATTTTGTTCCAAAAAATTATAAGTGAAAAAACTGTCGTACTTAGATGAAGAGTATATATGTTAATGTATAAATATGCTATGAATGTACTGCAATTGTACATTTATTATTGTAACTGCTCTGCGTACAGCTAAAAAAAAATTTTCTTTTAATATAAAATATTTTATTATTATTTATTTTATTATTATTTCAAATAATTTCTTTGGGTACCTTTGCTACTTTTTCAAAGTTTAAGTATCTTTACTCAACATATTTTTTTAATAGTACCTGTATCTGTTACTACCTATGTTTTCTTTTAAGTACCTTCCCATTCTTGTCACTTTTTTGCTTTTTTAGTACGTTATCATTTATTTCATTAATCCATCTGGTTATTGGTCAATTGGGGTTATGTTTGTTTTTTCATTTCCTTTATTTGTATATCTGTCTTATAGTAAGAAAATATTAAATACTTCTTTGAATCTGATGGACGTCGGCAAGATATTCAATAATGAGGTCAAGTTTATTGAAGATATTATTTTAAATAAGATTCACGGATCGTGTTCTCTTGAGCATTTGCATGATTGTAGTTCTTTTTTTCTTTTTATAGTTCTTTAATCTAGGAACGTAATACTGAGAAAGTAATGATAATGTTGCTCCACGAGTCACTTCCGTCTGAAAAATTTGACGTTAAATTACAACTTATATTCACAAAAAATTGGTCTCGCCCATGCGACTCATGGAGTAACATTAGCATGACTTTCTAAGTAGTAGTTCTTTAATTTAAATTATAATTATTAGTTCTGTTATTTTAAAGTAAACCAAATAAATGAGTAATAGTTGCAATTTGTTATTGCTCTTATTTACAAAACAATTAATTGAAACAAATATCAGTAAGAGCGTTAAACATACTATACTACAATTCACGATATAATAGGCAATAGCTTTCTTAAAACTATTAAAAACAAATATTTACCGATCCATTTTTAAAAACATATTTTCACTGAAATTTCAATAATTAAACAATTGTGTAAGTAATTAATAGAAAATGCAATTTGTAATTTGTAATTTGTTTTGTAAACTGTCCAAGTCTTGATGGAGATAAGTCTTAATGTCGTAAAACTATTCTGAAAACTTTTTTTTTTGATTATGTAAATAACATTGCAAATTGTAATTACTTTTTATAAAATAAATTAAATATTTTCAACATGTTGATAAGAAATATTTTCGAAATGTTATTAGTAGTTATTAATGAAGTATTTATCTCTACTCTATGGCTCTATGGTAATATAAATAATTTTATAAATTACAAGTTTTCTGTGAAAAATTCTGTAAATCATATGTACGTCCCCTCCGTTTTACCAGAATTGAGTAGTAACAGTAACTAACAATAACAATGAGCCCCGTAAATCTCATATATGAATTAAACTACTTTTACATATTAAGTAACTATTACGGCATATATAATATAAAATGTATAATGTTTGTAATCATCAATTAATATTATATCATTTATGAACTTTTTTAAGTGCAATAAGGGCGTTAGGTAATCTAAACAATGAAATAATGTATTTTAAGCCTAATTGCATTCGTGCCGCTCAATCGTGTGAAACTCAGTTTTTTTTAAATTGTTGATTGTCAGATTTGTATTTAAGTATCAATTTTATAATTATTTATCTTCCAATGGAAATTTATATTCATTGGATGCCAATAAAACTGTTGTGTTTTGATGGAAGTCGAAGAGGAAATATATGTGCAAGTCACGTTACACTTGACTTGTACATGAAATCTTATATGTTCTTAGCATGAAATTTTACACTAATAACAGTTACACGATTTTGAAGGCTTCTGACTTCGGACTTCTGAAAAACCCCAACCGCTCTGGGTGTGTTTTATATGCAATTTTGCAATCAATTGTCTTCGAACTTAGTGCAAACGAAAATAAAAACATTCATAAATTTATACAAAATAATTGTTAATATTTTTTATAAATTGATTTTCATTTTGCAACAAACAAATTGCAAACATACTAAAAATGTGTTCAACAATTAAAGTAACATTTTCAGAAATTTTATTTGCTAACAAAATTCATTTGCACACTTGAAAAATTTTAAAAGCTAAAAGTTGTAACAATCATGGACAGATATCACCTTTGTAATACTTGCAGTCCAACAAATTATGTACGGACTATAAACTGAATAAAAAATTCGAATATTTCCTAAAGATTACTGATGAAGATGAGTACTTGGCTATACTCGAAACAGCCAAATTTCAATAAATTAACTAAAATTTTTGTTGTCTTTTCATTACTATTCGAACCCTTTTAACCCTTTTTTCATCGTTGCTGTTATATTATTGCAGCTGTTCTTCTTTCCTCTTCCCAATGTAGCAGGCGTCACATAATTTGAGTTGCGAATGTTTTTATTGTATTTCATTTAAAGCTGTTTGTATACATTTCATGTACAATGCTGCTAGGA